TCCGACTTTTCCACCATGCATTGTATGAGTCACACAGTATACTATAGGGTGTAGTTTGGAATGTTGTAAGAGATTGTTGTATTGAAATCAATGTAAAACAGGAGAGTTGAATTCAATTGTGTTTCGTTTGAATGTTCGAGAACCTGAGAACCATAAGTTAACTCTGATGAAACAACTATAATTCCGTTGGAAATAATGTAATTTATGATTTCACTCTAAATCCTAAATTACATTATTTCCAACTGAATTATAATTGTTTCATCAGAGTTAATCTATAATATATATAGTGTTGAGGAGTTCACTCCTCTGCTGGTTCTCAAACATTCAAACGAAACACAATTCAATTTTCCTGCTTTAGCCTATATTTCAATACAACAACCTCTTACAACATTACAAATGGCACCCTATACCGTAAGGCTTTTTCAACATCAGCCGACGGCGTACAAGATTTATCCTTCACAGCAAAGAATGTTGATTAATTAACTTTAACGCGCGCATGCCGTCCGGATAGCGTGGGGATAATTATTCTATATACATTAGCTATAGTATAGTATAATTGTCCGAGTACTAATTTCCTGCAACTACAAAGAGTTTCCTAGTATACGATTTATATATAGACCATATATTTTTCTTATATATACACCCAGTCACAATTACTGCACGTATAACATATATGTCAAGACTGTGAACGGATGTTAACGCCACCACGAGTCCACGATACAATTAAGGAATAAGGTAATGTAAACTTATACCCTTAGTACTAAACTATATGAGTCAACCGAGTCAGTTGACTCGATAAGAATTTCGTGAAAAAGATTAAAAACAGGCGGACGTCAATTCATAGAAAGAGTGTTGTTTTCTTCAAACGAAGAGAGCACCCTTCTTGCTCCACAGTGGCGTAAGAAGCGGGAGGCTGAGGGGTGTTTTGTGCCCAAATAACAAGTGTGAGTTAGCGTCCCAAATATACCACAAACTCTTTTTTATTACACCTGCATGACAATGACGAACCAAGGATATTTGTAGTTCTTAGGATTGGATCAGTACAATTGCGAGATAAGTCAGATTTCATTTGAATTTAACCTCTTAGAAACATGAAAACATGCCCATGATAAGGTAAATTTACGGTCTATTATCCCTGTATAATGAAAGAAATATATACTCGAATGCGGTTTAAAAACCGTAGTGTAGTTGAAAATTGAAACTCTGTAATACTGCATGATGTATCACAATATATGACCTCAGACAGTTGCGAAAACACAATTTTTTACTCCATGATATATATTGCTGCTAATATATTGAACACTAGATTCAAATTATTTTAGCTTCAGGGGCGTCGTTAGTCCTATTTTATTGGGCGGGGTGTAAGAGGGAGGGCGGGGGTGTAAGTGAAAGTCATTTCTGCAACGTTTTAAAATTTTTGTTTTCAAAACTACTTGATCAACAAGAACAGCTTATATACAGGAAGAAAAGGTTATCCACAAAAATAGCCATTCGGATAAATATATTGTTGTTTAACAAGGCTTTTTGTCAGCTTGGTTAATTGGGCTGGTGCATGTCTTTACATTGAGAAATTTCAGCCTTGCTTAACAGTGTTCAGTGAGATTCCTGCTAAACAGGCTAGCCCGGTTAAAATTTGCAATTGCTCCCAATTGGGCTAGCACATGTTATGATGTTAACCTAGAGTTTCCATTCGAAATATCCATCTACAAAAAACCTTGATCAGTCTGTTATTGCCTTACTAGAGTAGGCTCTTGATAATCTCCCATATTTAATATTGGCGCCATATTTGTATGTAAAAATTTGATCACAGCTTGAAAGAGCATCACAAAATTAGTAATATTCCAAAGTTTCGTTGCGAAATGTTGTAAAATGCGGATAATATAGCCTTGCGAAGTTTGCAATTTTCAGTCATTTTAGATTACAAACGGGAAATTGACAGCCCCAAAGGGTATTGGGCTCTCAATTTCCCGTTTGTAATCTAAAATGACTGAAAATTGCAAACTTCGCAAGGCTATATTATCCGCATTTTACAACATTTCGCAACGAAACTTTGGAATATTACTAATTTTGTGATGCTCTTTCAAGCTGTTATGAAATGTTTCTCTAGACTTGTTTAGATCAAAATTTAGTCTATTACGCAAATGGTCAATTGTATTTCCTATTGTACTATACCTTATTTGTAGAGATAATAAATTCTTTTGACTTGCTTTTGACTTAAAAATGTTTTTATTGACTTCAAAGGTTAACTCTTTCTCGACCGGCCCAAATTTGATATTTTACATTTTTACGATTCAATTGTTTCTATTGTAAAACCTCAGCGAGTATGTAAGTAAAGTATTACCTACCTATACCTACCTACCTAGTATATACTAGTGTATACATAGGCGTACGGGAAGGAAAAAATTAGGGGCGCAGAAAGAAATTTGCCCGACTTTTTCGAATTGTGCCCGACCAGTGCCCATTTTTTTTTCTTTTGCCCTACTGTTGTTGAATATTTGCCCGACTTTTCGACTTTGTAATCTTTTTTTTGGGGGGGGCAGCTGCCCCCCCTGCCTCCCGTCCCGTACGCCTATGAGTGTATATAGTGTATGCCAAACTCACTCTGGAAATAATGTTGCTACATAGCTTTCTCGTTATCGTGACTGTCTTTTTTATTAAAATGTCTAAAATGTACATCAGGGAAACATGACAAAAATTTATGGCAAGTTCATGGCAAAAGTTATAAGGTAGATGTTCGATTGTTTCTCATATTAGCTACGCGCATTGCATTTGGGGTATTTGCGCATTGCATTTTTGGCATATCTGTTGATTAAAATTGAGAATTGTGCCTGCAGTAGCAATAATCGTTACCTGTCAAATTTCCCCCCACTGTAATAAAATAACTGGACCCCCCTTCTGAACTAATATTTTTAGGTGCCCCCTTTTTCGGTCAAAAATACCTCATGACCCACCCCCAAGTCATTACCTGTTCATCTATGCATTTAGTTTAATCACTGGTTAGCATGATTTCATTTAAGCTATTTTAAACAAAATGTATCAGATAATATTAAAAATATTTTGGGGGTATCTGTCAATATGCAGTTGCAAATCCCTGTGCTTTTGGGACCTTTTTTGCTTGTTTAGGCACGGATTAAACAAAGATCTTTACATTTTTTCTGGGAATTTATTCACATTCTTTCCAAACAACAATCTCTATAGTTCAGCAAATATCCTTGCTTCTAAGTTTCCTTCGCTTACTCTTTTCTTGCTAACCATCCATATAGATTCTCTATTGGGCGGGGTTTAGGGCTTTTTGCTGGCACCTCAAAGGTTTGATACACATTTCTGGTTTGTCATGTTACCAGCATGTTTTCCTAATCGAATGCCATAATCCATTAGCATTTGTGTTGTTTGTCGTCACCCAATGGCCAGGAATGTTTTTGGAAACCAAAAGTTGTGCAGCAATTTCTAAGGGGTCAGCAAAAGTCCTAAACTCAAACCATTGGCAACTATACGCAGGTATATCTTCACAGATACCCCAACACTTTTTGGGTATTATCCGATATACATTTTGTTTAATATTTGTCGGAAAATAGAACTATCCAAAGATTTATCTTTTTCCAAAGTGGCAACATACGTGACATTTCAATAACATTACATGAAGTCTTTAAAGCCACGCCCAACCGAATTAAATTCGACACATGCAAAATGCGCCGTCTGAAACCACGTTGCACTGGGCTTGCATTATGCGACCGCAGCCGTCGAATTTAAAGTTACGGCCGACCGTATAATCAGAAACGTCGAATTTAACTGTTTTAGACGTCGAATTTTTAATTGTACGTACATAATTCAAGCCATTGAATTCGACACATGCAAAATGCGACGTTTGAAACAGGCCTGAGTTAACACGATATAATATGTCCGATTCATTTAGAAATGAATTTCCTTATTTCCTTATATTCGTCTAACATTCAACCTTCAAAAAGTTGGTATTTAGAACATATACTTCGTCAGTACAGTATATGCTCTAAATGCCAACTTTTTCATGTGTACCGGTCACCATATTTTATGACCATTACAGGGAAGTATTTTTGTTTATGTTGTTTGGTATTTTTCTTATTCTACGTGACAGGAAATAAATCTGAAGGATTGAAACACACACAAAAATGAATGACACAGGTGATTCTTACGAGAACTTATCTCGGAGAACAAGTCGACATAATAATGATGAAATGAAACTTTACCAAGAAATGATGGCAGAAAGAATGTTGTGTAAGTGAAGACAGTGGCAACTGCAATTGATGTAATGTTGTTATAGGTCTTAAGGCCATGCTACACGAGGCTTCAACTTGCAACGCAAAAATTTCTGACACATGTTATCTTCAAAAAAGTCGCAGGAAAATCTGTATCCGCGAATATTATGTAGATGTTGCAGCAAAAAGAAATGTCGGATATACGTTCAGTTCAAGTGAAGAATTCAAAGAAAATCATAAAATTAGATATCTTTCAATCCCAAAGTGGATGGAATAAGTTTATTATTGGTTTCCCAAGTCTCCTGCCCTGAGGCTTCTAAAAATCTCTAAATAACAAGTTATTTCATAAATCCTTGTTATGTTTCAGGTATGGGATCGTCTCGTGTAAACGAGGCCCTTCACGCCGTGGTCGAGAACAAGTTACATGAAACTGCACTGTCGGAAAGTAACAACAGTGTGTTGGAAAGAAATCGTGCTCTACTTCAATACATTGCAACTTTAGCAGACTCAAACAAAAAGGATGATCGTTTTAACTATGAATTCGTGGAATCTCTTATTGAAGGTGGCGCTAATATCAACATTACTGATCAACATGGACAATCAATATTTCATGAGGTCGCGCGATCTTGGAATGTTGATGTTGCAAAATTTCTTCTGGAGCATGGTGAGTATAGTACAGCATAAAACCACTAGTATATTTAGTATACATGTTTCAATTATTTGCAAATTTTTGGAAGGTGTTGGGCCAACAATGTTGGGACCTGTTTAACTTTTCGTCAGGAATAGCCGCGCGTCACAAAATTATCAGTGCAGTACGAAAAGTTCGTGTCGCAATTACCTTTATAAAGTGATTTGAATTGGAACTTTATATCCGCACAGGTGTAGACAACAACACATTATACCTATCTTCAGTTTTGATGTATTTCTTTGCAAAGACAATTTCCAAATTCACCAAAATCACTTGATTTGATAAACTAGCATCATCATATATAGATGGAGAAATAAACAAGCAAGACAGTTTTGGTCGAACACCTCTACACGTCGCAGTCTCAGAGGACTTTGCTGAAATGGTGGAATTTCTGTTACAAAATGATGCAGATATTGATGTCAGAACATCGGGTGAAATACAAGCTCCAATTCATTATGCGGCAAAGAATGGTGCTGCTAAGTCGCTCAAGCTGCTGCTGGGATATCAAGCGAATATTGATTCTCTAGATTACAGACAGCGAACCCCATTACAAGTAAGTACATTCCTGTAAATTTATATGCATTTCTTGCAGGATATAGGCAGTCAGTTTAACATTATATTTGTCATCGATAAGTTTGGATTGCAGCTTTAATATTCGTTCTAAGATTTGGATTGCAGCTTTAATAAACGTTCTGCTTATTATAGGTTTATTCCTTGTTGAATTTTTTTTGTGAGTACATGTCGAACATGCCAATGAAGGGCATACGATATCGAGGAACTTAAACGAGAGAGTATATAAAATCCAAATCTGTCAGGTTAATTTTTGTCTGTGCAAAGCCCTCGGGCGCGGAAAGAGTTTTTTCTATCATTGTACTCTGCTTAATCCATAAGAACACTAGATGTTGTACATTTTAGTAAAAATTATGTCTATTTACACCTTTTCCCACGTATTACTACGTAGTAAAACACGCTTAGGTAGGACACAGCCTCCATCATTAACATCATCGTTAACATAATTAACATCATCATCATTAACATCATCATCATCATCATCATCATCATCATCATCATCATCATCATCATCATCATCATCATCATCATCATCATCATCATCATCATCGTCATCATCATCATCATCATCATCGTCGTCGTCGTCGTTGTCGTCATCATCATCATCTCTTTCATTGTTTTAGCTGGCTGCGGAATGGTCACGTGATAAGACCGCAAAAATATTGATCGACGAAGGTGCATCCTCATGTCTGCTCGATATATCCGGAAATTCAGCCTTGTCAGTTCTTATCGACAAACTACCACATCTCTCATTGGGAGCTCTCAATCAACTGCACATGACAGATGTCATAACAAGAAAAGAGTTTTACTACATAAATTTCCTTGAGGCATCTCGTATGAGACTTGAAACCAAGAAAACCCGAACTCCTCTTGAAACTGCTGTTGTTACAAGAAAGCTTGAAGTGGTTTCTCACCCAGTCATGCAACGCTTGATTCATAATAAATGGATGTATTTTGGAAGGACGACGACAATTTTGGATTTATGTTTCCATATAGTATTTATTATACTGTGGACAACAATGTCGATGCTAACTCCTCCCACTGGTCAAGAATTATACGATCCATTAAGTCAAAATGTTTGGCGAGTCGTGCTAGCGCTTGTTATTTGCATCATGATTATTTTTAAAGTTGGAAGGCAAGTTAGAGGTAGGTTTTATATGTTCGTTGAAGTCTTTTATATACAAATAGTTTCTCCAGCGGGCTGTTACTGTTTCGTCATAGTATGCTACATCGTTCTCTTTATGTCGCTTTGGTTGCTTCCATTTCAGACATCTGACATGTTTCACTAATAAAGCATATGCATGTGTTTTACACAAGCACACACATGTGTTTTTACAAAAATTGCTTCTATTGTGAAAATTATACAAAAGAAGTTGAAAAATTCGCAACTTGAAAAAGTAATAGTCGGGTGAGTTACTACTTCGTGTAAGGAACACATAATAGTTTGAGGTAATTAAAAGTAGGTGAAATAGTCAGATGGTGTTAAACTGGGGTTAGGTTAGGGTTAAGGTCAGGGTTATGACTAACTTTTATGATCACACATACCTTCCACACATTAAATCTAAGTTTATAAAATGCATGAAAACATACCTACATTTAGTACATTACTTTTTTTGAAATTAATAACATACACTTAATGTCTGCTCCCAAGGGAAATAGGTAGTTTTGTTTTCCCGAGAGTCTCATCGAAACGTCGATAGTTTCTGATACAGTAGTTGTACTATCAGTCGAAACGTCGATAGTTTCTGGTAGTTGCACTTATGTCTCTATCACACCGCGGCTGTCTGTTATCGGCGCTACCTACATTGGCACCGACCGTTCGAGATTGTGGCTTATCCAGGGATGGGCGATGCCGTGATAGCAGCTTTTACCATTACCCGGGCCAGTAGAGGTTAGGAGCGGGGATGGGGATCATTATTATCAACACACACTGCAACACCTCCCCCTCGACCTCGAACAGGTCACATGAAGTATATACCATCATTTTATGAGGCCGCTGACCAAAATGAAAGAATATCGCAGGCTCAGAAGTATCGAAACAATCGGTATTTCTTGAGAGGTTAGGAGCGGGGTTGGGGTTGAGTTAGGGGTCAACCTGATACACTATAATAGCAATCGATATTTCTTGCCAGTATCGATACTTTTCTTCAAAACCCTGGTATCGATAGTATCGGGTATTTGGTATATCGTTATCGGCCCATCCCTAGGCTTATCATATACTTTAAGTATAACAGACATTACACAAGATACGCACTTCATTTGGACGGTGTTGTAAGGGTGTAAAATTTACTGATCCAAATTTTCTGTTACCTTACCTAAAACTGTTAAAAGCTGGTGTTTGAAATGACTGCGAATTCGTGTGTATATTTAAAGCTATTAAAGAATATAGAATATATGCGGGCCAAAATCTGCTAGCAGGATTAGGGTGAATGCTTCCCAAAAAAGTTTGAAATGGTTTAAACTCCTAAAGAAGAGCTTGGAAATGTATCTGAAATTCCCGTATACTATTCATGATCATTTGCGTGCGTTTTATACTTCTAAATTCCAGTGCACCAACTTAAATTCACAAGTCACAACTTTGTACAAAACGCAAAAATTTGATGTAGTCTGTTTACTGTTTGTGTCTTTTCGAATTATGATTTCGTTTAAATATTATTGCATGTATAAAAAATACCATCCATATATGAGGCTAATCTCAATATCCGAGCAGGAAGATGAAGGGGATTTCTTGTATGATGTACCGACTATTAATATTACCATGTATCTTACAATCAGTTTAATTAAACCATATAAGAGCTGGATGCTTACTATGAGTTCAGCACTTCTAAATTTACGCAATTTATGCAGACTGTTAGTGGCGTTGTGTAATTTCCAAAATAATTCAAAATTAATTCTGTGCAATATATCAAATGTCATAGAATATTCCTGTTTCTATATACTCGTTGCAAGCAATTATGAGACTGCATATGACGTTGGTAAAAGATTCCTCAAAGTTAATCATTTAGTGAAATGGCTACCAATTCCTTGTCAAGAAAAATTACCGACCATAGATTACAGTTACCGAGCGTTCTATCAATCGACTAATTTACCGACTGTTTCACTGAAAGTGTGGGCCACCCTCCCCCGCACACTACGTCCCTGATTATCGAATACGTAAGAAAGAAATATTTCTCGAAGAATTCCGACGCCATCTTTATGTACATTTCCCCGGGGGTTGCCCGGGGGGATGATGACTGGAATAATTGAACCATACATTAGTGTTTTGTTATATAGCGACGAAAAAGAAATCAACAACGTTCATCATACTTCAAAGCCACAAAATAGAAGACCTTTGACTTTGTTTGATGTTGAACTGTACCTCACCGTGCACAAATCCTTTGTCTCAACTTCAGTAAATATTATTCATCGTCGTTGTAGTTTCATCTCAGCTATCCTTATTGGACGATTACTTCATTATACGAATATACAATGAGCTCAATCACGTGACCGTGCATAAATTAACATAAACTCAGACAAAAACATAATACAATGACTTCTGTTCAGTTTCCAGACCATCATATCTTGATAGACTATGCGTTCATACAACATTTGCATTTCACGATAAAAGTTTAAACGATTTTAAAATTGAAAGAACCTACTTAAATGGTTTCAGCGACATTTCCTGTTGCCTGTTGTGCATTTTTCTTCTCTTTTAGATTGTTTAAATTAACCTGGGAAAACATAGTTTATAAGACTTGCAGCTAGCGACAGGAATTGCGGCGACCACTCATTGGTCAATAAATATAGCTCTTATGTTCTTTGTTATTACGTAATTTAAATTAATGTCGAGAACCGCTGCCTCAAATGCTTTAATTGATAAAATTATGGCGGGAAACAGCGCAGCGTTCTCCTCAGTCTAACTTCTAAGGAAATTTCTTTAACTGACGAAATTTGCACCCCTTTAAGGATGTTTCTAACTCTCCTTCGTTTGCGCATGATTAAACCAGATTTACGCTAACGACTTTGGATGTAGATAAAAAATTGAAAATACCACTGTTCGATTCAGTGAAACAATATCTCCTACTAAATTCCTACCGATAGTTTTAGTCAAATGTCAACATTATAGCGATTTATGACCTTTGAGAGGTCAAGCGGCATAATATTTCATTAAATTAGACAATTTTCCCGAACAATGTAAATACAGGTATTACTAAAGCTGCATTCCAGTTACGCGTTTTTCATATGTGCGTACACGCACGTAAAAGTTGAATTCGCTTTACATCCTACTTATGAAATAACTAAATTTATAAAAGCCATTAAAAGGACAGCATTCAGTTTTGTGTATGATTTAATGTGTATTTGTTAAGGTTATTTGCACTTATATGAAATTTTAAGCGAATTCGACTTTTACGTGTACGTGTACGCACGTATGAAAAACGCGTAACTGGAATGCAGCCTTAAGCCATAGCGTGTGGCACGCGCGTGCGAGTAAAAACCCGATATTTTGAAAAATTCAAAATAAATATTTCTACTTGCCGTATTCAAACGAAACTTTCTACATGAAAGCGCTTGCATGTTTTGCATACAGGGAGCATTTTACTCCTATTGACTTGGGGCGAATTCTGAACAGTTTAGAAGATATTCAAGTTTTTTTTCGATATCGTCACTCAACACTCAAGCGATAAAACTGATATCGCCTCGCCCCTCACATGACTGCCTATACACTGCCTCGTCCCCAGTCGCTTATTAATCAGGAGAAATGAAAAAACCGAATAATTAAGAGGAAAACGAATAATTAGAATAATTAATGACGATGGGCGCGCGTTTGCGCGCTCGTCCTTAGTTGCGGGCGTGCGCCTTTATCGGGCTTGCAGTGCACGCGCTGAACTATATATTACTGATATTTAAATACGTTGATCTCAGTTAAATTTGATCTACATAGAGGAGCCTGTGGAGGAGGCAGGCCTATACATATCATACTCCAACCCATTGTTAAATATTTATATTTTCACCAGGTGATTAGAAATGCACATAATTATATACAATACACAGTTAAACCGTATTGCTATTTTGTAATATTTCATAATATATGCTTATTGCATGTCTGCAAATGCTGCAATTCGAATTCCATCTTTTGTAAACATACATGACGCTTCTCTGTTCTCGTTTGTTATATATAGTTTTAAAAATACTGAAAATACTAATATAAAGACTTGCTTGCTCAAACAGCAGGCTCAAAGCAATTGAAAGCTGAGGCAGCGGTTTTCAACATTAATTCATTTATGACGTAATATATCATAAGAGCTATATTTATTGACCAATGAGTGGTCGCCGCAATTCCTGTCGCTAGCTGCAAGTCTTGCGAGTTACGTCGCCATTTTGTTTATTTATGTGGCCGGTCAGGGCGGACAACAATTTTTCACTTGTTTCCCAGCGGGATACATTACATGCATCTACGGCCACGTGACCACAAATCAGTCAGTCACGTTTGGCGTTCACCCTAGCTACATAACAATTCAACAATAAAAAGCACTAATGTTTATTTTTGCCATTAATTTGATTTTGTAAAAAAGATAAAATTATCGTGTTACCATGACAACTCATATTAGTTGCCGCGAGCACGAATCTGCATTCTGTCAAGTTGCAGTACTTCATGTCGAAACAAAGATAGCAAATACAGTAAGGCGAGGTTAATGCATGCATGTATTGCCTTTGGGCAATACTGGAAAATCCTGCCTTGTCAGTAGCCAATCAAATTGGGCGATTCACAATTAAAACAAATGCTTAATTGGCATTTAATAATAAAAATTATTTAGTAAACATTACAAAACATAGTTGCCGCATAATTCAATTGAAGGTCTTTTAATCACTATACGTACTGTCAACCTCGTTTTGGATGTTTCAAGCTATGACAAAATAACTCGTTGTGTTTTAATAAATAAATTTTATATTTTTTTCTCAGCAACCTTGAAGACCGTTAGAGCAAAAAACCACTGGATCAAATGGCAGACTGAGGAACTTCAAGAAGATCTAACATACTGCCATCCACGATGGCCTCAGGAGGCAAGAGCAATACAAAATAAAATCAAAATAATTAATAAATTAAAAATATTCATTGCAGAGGATGCATGGTTTTACTACGATTGGATCGCTTTGATCGTTATGATTGCTACACTTGCTTTGCATATCGCTTACTACAAAGTTGATGCAAATGATGACATAAGATTTGCATATACTAGGATTCGTAGTATTGCCAGTCTTGTTGTGTCTCTTCGTTTGCTTAAAGATTTGAGATCATTTCCAGGTATCGGTACCCTTATCATAATCCTTGGTCAAACTAGTGATGACTTTATCAACTGGGCATTCTTGTTCTTTCTAATTTTCATTCCATTTTCTGCATCATTTTGGATCATTTTCGGCGGCCCATCACTCAAACCTGTATTGCATTATGATAAACCTGCCAGTTTATTATACTCTGTCTTCAGAATGGCCGTTGGTGATGATTTTAATTTGGAAGGATTGGTTGCAGCAGAACCTGATATGGCTCGTATCTTGACAGTTATGTATGTCACAGCTGAATGACAATTGTCACACTCAATTTACTTATTGCGTTATTATCTGAGACTTTCGCACGAGTACATGGCAATGCAAAAGCGAACGCAATCATGCAGAGAGCCATCCGAGTGATTGAAGCCGAACGAACTCTTAACTAAAGAGAAGAAAGTAAACTATCGGGAATACATAAAAATGAACTGCAGTCCAGAAATCATGGATAGTGCTGTCGATGTTGCTGCCCCAGAAACTATCGCAAGCTCACAAGAACTGACCACCAACTTGACGACATTAAAGCAAGTTCTTGATGATAGATTTGCAAAAGTTTGCGGAAAGAATAAAATCTCAGATTTTGATAGACTTAAAGATGATATCGGCAAGATAAAAGAGCATCAGACAGAGGACTATTATACCTTAACAGCAATACTGAGGATGGTAAAACAATTACAAGGTAAATATGATTCATTTGACCCTGACTTTACTCTACATGCTTAATAAACGTCCATAAATAAGTCAACTTCACTACTGTTGTGATTTGTAAAGTTTGGTCAAATACATATACATGATTGTGTATTATCTTACAGGGGATGCGCCTGACGAACAAATTCCAGGAAGTTCCTCGCCAAATAAGCAAAGGGAAATGAAAATCCAATTTCCAAGTTTAAGAAAAAATGACATAATAGTGATTCAAGAAACTTCAAATGTTCCTCATCTTGGGGAAAATTCTAGTGATCGTGGGGAGAATACTAATCTTCTGAATGGTGAACAATCTCAAGACAATCTCTCAGGTGACCTCAAGGGCTGGGTAGACTGTTAGCTTGATACCACTTTATATATTCATTTTCTAATTACCATATTTCTTTATCAGGTTTTAGTATAATTACAAAGGTGATTATCGAAAATTGTGGCCGCTGATTGGTCAAGCGACCTCGGATTATTACGCGATAATCACCTAAGCGTTTTTTTCAAAATGGCGGCGAGTTGTTTTGCCAAAGTGACAGATGAAGAAATAAGTAATTTTAAAGAAAATGCTGTACCTAAGAGCACGAAAGAAGAGACAAAATTTGGCTTAAAATTATTTCGAGGTAGGAAACTAAGTTGGAAAAATCTGCTTAACATTATTTCGCATAAAACCGGCATCGTTTTATTTTAAATTGCCGTACAATTGTGAATTGTCTAGACATTTGTTAGTTACGTTTGTAAAAATATATTTTCTACAGATTGGTTTCAACAACAGTCAGAATTCACAAATGAGTTTGAAGACACGAGTATTGACGAAATGAACCGAATTTTTATCAAAATTCTATACTTTCTGTAAGAAAAAGTGATAGGAATTACTACAAAAAACATCCTTGAATCTTGATGGCGATACGAGCGCCTTCATTGCGCATACCGCTTTCTTTATGAATTTAATTAAACGATTTTCAAAAAATTGAGATGTGTTATATTATTTTTTTCAAATAATCACCTTTGTAATTATACTAAAAAGCGATATTCACCTCTCCTTCGGCGAATAATTGTTAAATATAGCAACAGGCGGGCTGCGAGTGAGGGGCGAGAGCTGCAAAAAGTTCTTATATCGTTATATCCTCATCTTTCGTGCACGTTAGGGTTAGGAATAGATTGTGATTCGAGTTCTGATCAAAACCAAAAACAGTAATTAAATACGTGCACGAAACATGAGGATAATTATTTAACAAGTATTCACCGCAGTGGAGGTGAATAGTGCAAAGGAATAGTGCATATATCACAAACGAAACAAAAACGACCAAAAAAATTGTATTACAGCTCTCGTAATTAAAATAGTTCAATGCAAGCAAAACAGGCAGTAATTACAGGTCTTTAGTAATTTTATTCATTAGATATAGTTTTAAAAAATACCTCTACATAACCACAGTAAAACCAAATGTTGTGGCTTCTTCTGTGATTGGCGTAACCACAGCTTCGTTTAGTAAAACATTTATTCGTTTGTATAACCGGGACAACTTCACTACTGTTGTGATTTATAAAGTTTGGTTCAATACATTTACATATATATATACATGATTGTCTATTACCTTACAGGGGGTGAACCTGACGAACAAATTCCAGGAACTTCCTCACCTGAAACTTCAAACGTTCCTGATCGTGGGGAAAATTCTAGTGATCGTGGAGAGAATACTAATCATCTGAATGGTGAACAATTTCAAGGTAATCTCTCAGGTGACCTCGAGGGCTGGGATACAAATAGCATACATAGTATCATGTACTTAAGGGCTGTTCATATGGAGCCGGGCTGGCCCGATTAACCAGGATGACTCGTTTAATAAAGCTCTTATCACGGCTTTGATAAACAACCAAGATAACAATTCAAAGTTGAATTAGCTTAGTTTGATTCCAGTAACAGTATAAAGTTCATTCAAACGATATTTTATGGTCAGTAAAACATTTTGTGACACGATTCATCCCGGCTGTAGCAGGCTCATGAACAGCATCTTAGTTAGCCTGCGTGGCAGGCGGTATTTCTACAGGCAGCGAAAATTAGGGAGGCAAAGGAAATGCCGGCCGTTAGGGTTAGGAATAGGTTGTGATTGGAGTGCTGATCAAAACGAAATACTGTAATTAAATACGTGCACGAAACATAAGGATATTTAACAATTATTCACCGCAGTGGAGGGTGAATACTGCAAAAGAATAGTGCATACAGCTATTTCAATTAAGGTAGTGAATTTTTTAGCGATTCCCAGCAAGCTTTTCGCACTCGTATTCGACTTTTCCGCTTTGCTCGGGGACAACCTTAATTGAAATAGCTGTATACCACGAACGAAACAAAAACGACCAAAACATTTGTATTATAGCTCTCGTAAGCAAAACAATGCAAGCAAAACAGGCAGTATTTGCAGGTTATTTGTAATTTTATTCATTAGATATAGTTTTAAAATTGTATTACAGCTCTCGTAATTAAAATAGTTCAATGCAAGCAAAACAGGCAGTATTTACAGGTTTTTAGCAGGCCTGCATAATATAGCGGACCGCGGGACCATTGGTCCCAGAAAATGTTTGAGGTTGGCAGAAAAAAATGGAGGGTAAAACTTAAAAGTCTCAAAAGAAAAAAGTAAAGAGAAAGAAAGAAAGGAAGAAAATAAGAAAAAATGACATAATTGAATAATAAGCTGTAGGTAGTGAACTAGTGATGTTTGCAACATGCAAGTAATACAAGTTTCCAATATACCGGTACAGGCGCCACTCCAGCAGCCTGATATTATGATCAAAGACAGGCAGACAGCCAGGGGCGAAACTAGCCCCTTTTAATTAGGGGGGTGTCTGGCAGAATTGCCCTGCCAAAACCAGTGATGCGCTGCCAAAAAGTACCAAAAAAATTTTTCCGGAAAAATTATTTTGGCGACCTCCCCCCCCCCCCCCCCCCCCGTCGCCAAAAAAATTTCGGTCTGTGTACCATTTTAGGGGTCAAAAAAATTTTCCGGACAACCTATATTTTTCGGAACATAACACAAATTTTCGAAAAATCACACAATTTGCGAAAAAATTCACTTAATTTTAGATAAAATTGACTGAATTTGTCCCATTTTTTTTTTCAAACCAAAATTGCCCGACTGTTGATCGAATATTGCCCCCGCCCGGTACGCCTATGTGCTATCATTTATTTATAAGAGACCTTTGATTGCCCTGCCAATCGGGATGATTCGTATTTTGGGGGGTGTAACACCCCCCCCCCATACCCCCCTCAAGTTTCGCCCCTGCAGACAGCAGTCTAGCAGATATTAAGATGAAATCCTCTATGCGGTTATAATTGATTTCATCTAGTGTATTAGCTACTTCTGAAAATACCACTCCAGTTATATATGAATACAACTCATTTAACAACTACAGTATGTGGATTAAAAGTCTATGAGTGTGGTGATTTCTTACAATGTAGTAAAAAATCTAAGCAATATGGTCCAATACACATTGAACAGCCTTCCGCCCTTCTCATGAACCTTCATCCATTAAATTAAGATGATATTCATAACAAATATATTAAAATTATAAGAATCTAGAATCTTAAACTGCAGACAGTTCCCATTGGTCACTTTCATCATTCATTAAAATGTAAATGTTTGTTGTTAAATTAAAATATAAAGAATATTTATTCTGTAGCCATGTTGAAATACGTCTACCCTCAGTACCCTGCTGGCAGTGGTTTTGGAGCTGAGGAGAAACCACTGCGAGCAAACAAACGACTTTCTATCGAGCATGCACAAAGATCACAGGGTGGGACAATACTAATTTGACTTCATTTGCTGTAGTTTGACAGTTTATTATCTGTACGTAAAAAAGCGTGGCATAGTACTGTTTTCTTTGTTGTCTGTCTGACTTTTTATTCTACATGCAGTTCACAATTTACTTCTAAAAGATTTTGAAATCGGTGCCTCACCGCTACAAATTGTGCATTTGAATTTCTGTTATATCTTTTTCAATTTTTGTATTTATCTGATCAATATCAATTTTTTAAATTCGGTCTGCAAACTTTATTTGTGTTAAGGTTTTCGATAAATTCCAATTTCCAAAGTTTCCAAATAATATAATAAGGTTTCCAATTATTGTTGATTTTGACAATATTGCGATTTTTGATCGTCGCGACCTCAACTGCTACAAATTTCAACTGATGAAAGATCGTCACAACGGCACTACTATTTCTGTAAAAGGTGTTCATTTTTTGTTGCAGTGTGTGAATTTATAGTTACTCTGTCGAACTGTATAGGCGGTTTTCAAGTCATCTTAATGTATAATTTCAAACGTTTTATTCAATATTTTGTAAAGTTATAATATTTTGTAAAAGGTAGTGCATATATGGCTTGTTACTATATTTAGAGCATGATCATGTTGTTTTAGTACAACTGGCTCGCATTTTACTAGCAGTGCCAAGCAGTTACCCATGCACACAATAACGAAAACTTGTCAAACTTGTTTTACTGGTTTCTCATTTAATGTATTCGTCCATGAATCTGGACGGCGGCTACAATGAAATGCTCGCAGTGGTTTTTCCTAGAAGCTCAGCTAGAAACCACTGCTAGCTGGGTAAAATACGTCTATTTTGGTTTCAAATCTAATGAAATGGTGCATAGAATACACTGAACCTTGTGTAGTGATGATCAAATTTAAACAAAGATTCACAGTGTTTGCATGCAGAAAATATTTTTGTTGGCTTTGTGGTCCCAGAAAATAAAATATTTTATGCAGCCCTGGTTTTTAGTAATTTTATTCATTAGATATAGTTTTAAAAAATACCTCTACATAACCACAGTAAAACCAAACGTTGTGGCTTCCTCTGGGTTTGGCGTAACCACAGCTTCGTTTAGTAAAACATTTAGTCGTTTGTATAACTGGGACAACTTCACTATACTGTTGTGATTTGTAAAGTTTGGTTCAATACATTTATATATATATACATGATTGTCTATTACCTTACAGGGGGTGAACCTGACGAACAAATTCCAGGAACTTCCTCACCTGAAACTTCAAACGTTCCTGATCGTGGGGAACATTCTAGTGATCGTGGAGAGAATACTAATCATCTGAATGGTGAACAACTTCAGGGTAATCTCACAGGTGACCTCGAGGGCTGGGATACAAATAGCATACATAGTATCATGTACTTAAGGGCTGTTCATATGGAGCCGGGCTGGCCCGATTAACCAGGATGACTCGTTTAATAAAGCTCTTATCACGGCTTTGATATATACAACCAAGATAACAATTCAAAGTTGAATTAGCTTAGTTTGATTCCAGTAACAGTATAAAGTTTATTCAAACGATATTTTATGGTCAGTAAAACATTTTGTGACACGATTCATCCCGGCTGTAGCAGGCTCATGAACAGCAACTTAGTTAGCCTGCGTGGCAGGCGGTATTTCTACAGGCAGCGAAAATTAGGGAGGCAAAGGAAATGCCGGCCTCCCTAAAACCGCCTGCCACGCAGGCTACATCTTAGTTTGTAGACTGTTATCCTGACCTCACTTAATATATCCATTTTCTAATTACCAGATTTCCTTATCAGGTTATAGCAGCAGGCGGTCTGGGGAGCTGTAACAATGTTCTTATACCGTTAATCCTCGTCTTTCGTGCACGTTAGGGTTAGGAATAGGTTGTGATTGGAGTGCTGATCAAAATGAAATACAGTAATTAAATACGTGCACGAAATCATGCGTGCCATAGGCGTACCGGGCGGGGGGGGCGGGGGGGGGGGCGGCAGCCCCCCCAGTTTTTTGGGCAGTCGGGCAATATTCGATCAACAGTCGGGCAATTTTGGCTTGCAATAAAAAAAAATGTGACAAATTCTGTAAATTTTGTCTAAAATTAAGTCAATTTCTTGGCAGATTTTGTGATTGTTCGAAAATTTTGTGTATGTTCCGAAAAATATTGGTTGTCCGGAAAATTTTTTTGACCCCTAAAATGGTACACTGACCGAAATTTTTTTGGCGACGGGGGGGGGGGAGGAGGTCGCCAAAAAAATTATTCCGGATAAAATTTTTTGGTACTAGTCGGGCAAAATCCCGAAAAGTCGGGCAATTTTCTTTCCGCCCCCCTAATTTTTTCCTTCCGGTACGCCCATGATGCGTGCTATCGTGTTCACCAAACGAAATACAGTAATAAAATACATGCACGAAACATAAGGATATTTAACAATTATTCACCGCAGTGGAGGGTGAATACTGCAAAAGAATAGTGCATACAGCTATTTCAATTAAGGTTGTGAATTTTTTAGCGATTCCCAGCAAGCTTTTCGCGCTCGTATTCGACTTTTCCGCTTTGCTCGGGGACAACCTTAATTGAAATAGCTGTATACCACGAACGAAACAAAAACGACCAAAACATTTGTATTATAGCTCTCGTAAGCAAAACAATGCAAGCAAAACAGGCAGTATTTGCAGGTTATTTGTAATTTTATTTATTAGATATAGTTTTAAAAAATACAGAGAACCACAGTAAAACCAAACTTTGTGGTTTCCTCTGTGTTTGGCGTAACCGCAGCTTCGTTTAGTACAAAAATTAATCGTCTGTATATAAACCGGTACAACTTCACTGCTGTTGTGATTCGTAAAGTTTAGTCCAACACATTTACATACATGATTGTGTATTACCTTACAGGGGGTGAACCTGACGAACAAATTTCAAGGAGTTCCTCACCAGAAACTTCAAACGTTCCTGATCGTGGGGAAAATTCTAGTGATCGAGCGGAGAATACTAATCTTCTGAATGGTGAACAAGCTCAAGACAATCTCTCAGGTGACCTCGAGGGCTGGGATACAGATAGCATACATAGTATTACTTAGCTTGTAAACTGTTAGCTTGATACCACTTTATATATTCATTCTGTAATTACCAGATTTCCTAATGCAACCAAACATGCAGTATTTACAGGCTTTTTATTCATTAGAAATAGCGATGCCATAAAATATGATGGCAAAATTTGGACATGCAGGAAGAGTGTTAATACGTAATAGTGCATAATATAGACCGTGTATATAGACCGTGCATGTAACACATATTAGTGAGTTCACGTTCATATAAATTCACGATTGAATAAGACGTGGACAAATTTATCCTTTGCTAAACTTGGAGCAAAAATATGGAATAGTATTTGCCCTGAGATACGTAATCTAGGGAAAGACCTTTAATAAAATAATTAAAAAGTCACTTCTAACTGTATTGGAGGTTGAGGATGATTATGTTGATACACTTAGGACAATTAAATTAGTGACCAAACAATTGGCATCCATAAAAATATAATCACACATGTTTATGTATATAGCTATATAATTAATATACCATGTATGAAATAAGTTTTGCAATATTCAGTAATATTGGTATGCAATATTCTAGTACATGGCATGCTTCTTGAGAGACTTGCATGTTGTGTACTGGAAATATGATTTGTATTCATCTTTGGACTATATTCTACCAATTCATAAAATTATTTTTTTACACTATCCGCCTCTATTAGCATTTCGAATTAAGTGTATATTAATTGCATTATAGTGAAAAAATAATTAATAAATGATTGAGTTCATTTTACACTCTCTCGATTAGTTAATATCAAAGACGAGGTAAAATAATAATCCATAAAAATTGTATAACTAAATAATTGGATAACTAAAAAGTCTCAGAGCGCACGTTGTGTAGATTATTGGTGGTCCTAACTGGCAAAAAATTACCTTACATATGAGCCAATCAGGAAAGCGAAACGTTTTCTCACATCTGAGAAAATACGTTTCGTCCAATCAAACGATACATGTGATGACCTATGAGTAAATTCACTCATGGCAGGAATTTCCCGCCTTTTGGTTTGACTTTATTTATTTCGGCCGAAGCTGAACATAAACATTAGCTTATAAGTATAGCTATTTTTCCTAAGACAAAGATATTAAAGATGAGAAGTTAAACCGGGTTACTCTAAAATATCTTGATGAAGACTATATCGCTGTTGCATGCAGAAAAATTATAATATCCGAGTGTCTATAATTCAAACAAAATTGTTTATGGAAAGTACTTTTGTATTGCATTTTCACAAGACTCACTCACTTTCTTCGCAGAGCCTTACGAATTTTTAGTCAAATTACGTAATACTATATGGGGAAACAAATAATTACGTAATTGTTAGTCAAGAGAAGACGGTAACCCTTATCTCCCCCCCACCCCCATACACCCTCGTGCACCACTGAATGTCCTCTACTGTTCCTACGTTACCATACTGATTATTAACCATAATAAAAGACTGAGACTCACTGGCTCGTTGCATTCGCTCGATTGCTTTGTGAAAACAAATTAACACTTGCAAAATATCATACGTCAGCAATCTCTATTTCTACATTTTGTTCCCGATTTTCACACAATTAATTATTAGTGGGTATCGAAATAGTTATTTTGATTTTCTTTAACAAGTGAACTAAGGTGTCCCAAAAATGTTCCCGTTATATTTCGAGCTTTTCCCATGTCAAATCTCATATAAATTGTGTATTGCTAGTATATACATCAACGACAATGTCAAAAAATATCACCACTGTTGGTTGATTTTATGCCGTATCTCACGTAATTTATGTTTGCACTGGCAAATGAAAATAACCAACATTTTGCTATACAGAGCCACTTAATATGTATGGAGACAAAATTCCAATTTGTATATATGCAGAGTAGGGAAACAATCTGGAACGGATGTTTACTGTAACTTAAAATTAATTATAGTTACAATGCTGCATTTTGCGAAATTTTGGTCCTTTTTTCAGCAAATTCATGTTTCAGCCACATTCTTAATACTTTTTACTTTTTAACAAAATCTTGATGTTATGAACTGAAGAATCATTTGTTGTGCGCAAAAAGGACAATTCCTTCTATAAAGTTTTCAAATGTTTATAACTTAATTTCCATTACTTCGACAAACTGAAATGTGTCTTGAAAGCGGTTGAACAACAGGGACCACGACTATGTCCTATTTAATATATCTATATGAACTGCTTAAAGAAGCAGTCGGCAGCGCAGGAACACTCGACGTCAGTGTAGAAAACACGCGATGCAAAAAAAAAAAACACGCGAGGGAAACGCTAGTGGGAATGGATCGGAATACATGATTGCGCTTTCAAGTATTTTCCCGATCCACGCCACTAACTTCCCCGACGAAGGGCCTTCGCTCGAAACGTTGAAGTTTTGTTTTATTTTATATTTAACCAAATAAATATAAAAGCAAGAAATACATGTCAAGAAGCTGACAAAGTGACGTCCAATTGAAGTATCAAACGAATAATGCAGCGACAACCGCGATAATGCTTTGATAAAGGCATGGATAATTAATTCATTTTATTTCGGATATCGAAGTCCGATCCGATCCGGCTACGAAACAACTTTATCAATCCGATCCGATCCGAAATATTTTGGTTCCGAAATCCGAACGAATCCGATCGGATCGGTTTCGGATCGGATTTGCACACCTCTAGTCACTACCTACGCTGATACAGACCGTTCGAGTTTATTAATAACATGAATAACAGTCTTCTACTATATAGTTGGAAATGTCCTATATAAATGGAATACATTAGACGTAACATGTGAGCAGGAATATCGTTGATAATGATATTTACCTATTTTTCATCGAGGCTTTGAATGCAAGTACTTGTTTGTGAACATTCAAAGAAGTGACAAAGGGAATGATACTTCAAAACAACGTCACAATCGCGTACGATCGAGAGTTTTAACCCTTTCCTCTCTCCTCGCTTTTCCCTCGGGTGTTTTTTTATCGCATCGCGTATTTTCTGCACTACATGGTCGCTTTAACATAACTGCACACTGACTGCTTTGCTATAACTGTATGGAGATTATAAATAGGACATAATCGGGCTCCCTGTGGCTGGGCGTTTTGATCAGATGAATGTCAATCAATAGCAACGATAATGGTAGTAATTTAATCGACTAGAACTATTTACAACTTATTACACTGACCTGAAAGGTCAAGTGTCTTAAATCCCCAGTTTTCTGTCTTCTGTTTTTTTTTGTCGTCGAGAAATCGAGTTTGCGTTCGCGCATCGCAGGCTCAGGGTGCAACGATTAATCCAAAATGCCATCGATTCTTCGACTCCGCGATTCATATATAATAGGAAGAAGCTTGTATTTATGTACGTAATAGCCGGCTCATGCCATGCTTGTGGTGCATTTTTCGTTTATTAGCCCATATATAGACTTATATGGACTTATACGCACGCGCACAATTCCGAAATCCAATGGTGACATATTCAGTCCAGTTTCAAAATGGCGCCTTTTGGCTGAGTGATCAGAATATATTTCACACAGTTTCGTTGAATTTTCAAAGAGTAGCGCCGGTTTCCTATGGAGTTTACGTTGTGTCGCACTCTGAACTTTCTTGCGTGTTGAATTAATATGTTTTTCTTCGTGTAACGACTCGAAAACCCCAAAATTTGGACCCAGCGAATTTTACAAAGGACAAGTTAAAGGTTTGACAGTTTGACTTTTTAACTAATAAACAACTGTCTATAAATATACGTTGTAGAGTCATAAACATCCATGATGTAGTTGTGTTCATTTTTTGTCGCACTCTGGACTTTCTTGCGTGTTGAATTAATGTTTTTCTTCTTGTGTTAAACGACTCTAAAATTTGGCTTCCAAAATTTGGCCGACCCGGCGGATTTATACAATCAATATGTTGTATTCAACGACTCGAAAACCCCGAAATTTGGACCCGACACGAATTTGTACAATATAGTGGGATGTAAGCTGGGACAAGTTAAAGGTTCCACAGTTTATTTTGATTTATTGTATGGTTCTCATTTGCCTAATACAATAACATTTAGTTCACAATACAATATAAACAGGGCAAGTTAAAGGTTTGACCATATTAAAATACATGTATTGAAATTCGCGCAATAGCTACTAGAATTCGCGCAATAGCTACTAGAATTCGCGCAAGTAAAGATAAAGCGAGCGTTCGATCAAAATACCAAAAAGAACTGAGACATTTATTGTATGGTTCTCATTTGCCTAATAGAATAACATTTAGTTAACAATATAATATAAACAAAATATAAACAAGGAAAAGTTAAAGGTTTGACAGTTTCACTACACAATGTCGACAATATACCTTAATACATGTATTAAAATTCGCGCAGTAGCTACTAGTTGGTGCGCCAAACTCTTTGTGGTAGCTATAGCCCACTAAAGATAAAGCGTGCCTTCAAAATACCTACAAGAACTAAGACATTTATTGTATGGTTCTCATTTGCCTAATACAATAACATTTAGCTCGACGCGAATTTTAACTAGTATCATATTTCACAATATAATGAGCAATGTAAACTAGCCAATTCTTTTCACCTACAAAATGTCGACAATATACCTTAATAGTTAATACATGTAGTAAAATTCGCGCAGTAGCTACTAGAGTTCGGGCAAGTAGTAAAGATAAAGCTTGCATTCAAAATACCAAGACATTTATTGCATGGTTCTCATTTGCCTAATACAATAACATTTAGTTCACAATATAATATAAACAAGGAATAGCCGTTCGATTTGGCTATACTGTTTGCTCGTTTTGAATGTATATTGATCGATTTCAATAATCGATTTACATATCAGTCTGCTCGATTCGAGTAAGTGTTGCCCGATTTGTATCATTGGTGATTTGGTGTTCGACTTATAACTATTGGACCTATTGAATTTTGACAGTAAAAACGCGCCATATATAATACATGTATTAAAATTCGCGCAGTAGCTACTAGCCTACTAGAATTGGCGCAAGTAAAGATAAAGCGTGCGTTCAAAATACCACTGG